ACACTCAGAAGCTTTTCCGTGATCATGGGGAGAGAAAACATTTGATCCGTGCATCCTCTTCCAGGTCTAAATCCGCATTGTGCCTCCCACAATAATCTTTCCGATTTCTCTTGCATCCTACGTGTCAAAACCTTCGAGTAAACTTTACTTGCTAAACTGGTCAAGCTGATCGCCCAATAGCACCCGCAGTCAAAATGTGAACCTTTACCTTTATATAAAGGCACAATCACCGCGGATCGCCAATCATCCGGGACACCTCCCGTCCGCCAGCACAAATTGCACAGCAGATGAAAGCTATCCCAGACGCGAGGCCCACCGTACTTGACCATTTCAGCAGTAACTCTGTCTAGTCCCGCAGCCTTACCACATTTCAAATTTTGAATCGCACGTTCAATCTCTTTCATGCTGATGACCTCAGTGTCATCGATGTCCGTGTTTGGCGTGCCAGTCACGGCGTCACCCCCGGATCCTTCACTAAGATCATGACACGCATACATTTCTCTATAAAATTCGCTCCATCGCTGCATGACGTCCGATTTTTGTGAGAGGACGTCATTGGTTTTCGAAAGCACTTTGTTCATTCTTAAGGCTGTCGCACCACTCCGGGACCTTCCAACCTCTTTCCAGAAGAGCTTGGAGTTTTCCTTAAAGTTGTGCGACAACCTTTCGTACGCTTCTATTCTACACCTTTCACGTACTTCCTCAATCAATGTTTTCGCAAGAACTTCCTGCAGCTTATCTTTCTTTCATCTTCTCTCTCATATGCTTATCGTTACTAGAGGCCAAGTAGTCTGACCATACTTTTTTCTTCTTCTTTACAGCTTCTCTCAATTCATCATTCCACCATGCATCTCTTCTTTTACTATTACCTCTTTTTGTCGTTCCACATACTTCTTCCGCTGCACTTACCATTCCTCCCTAAGGTTCTGCCATGTTCTTTCCACACATTCTTTTCTGCCATCGATGGTGTCAAGCTTTTCGGCTACCCTCGTGTGATATTTGTCCTTAGTATCCGCTTCCTGAAGCTTCCAGCTTCGGATGCGACAGACCGTGTGGTTTTGTTACAGCCGTCCGGTAGCGCCAACCCGCGAACAAACACCTAAATCTAGTAATTACTAGATAGTGATTCGTTCCCAGGTCAGCACCCCTGAACACTCGTGTATCCATCACCTGTTTTCGCAGTCGGTCATCCACCAGGAACAAATCAATCATACTTCTCTCATTCTTTCTTTCTGATTAAACATAGTGTTTGTCACAAGAAGACCCTTTTCCTTGCATACAGCCAGTATAAGCTTGCCAGCATCATTAACCCTTTTATCGCCAAACTTTCCAAGCACCGACTCGTACCCAGGTCGAGCGATACCTACCTATCCATTCAAATCACCACATACAACAGTTCTTTCGTTTCCCTTAACCAAATCTAGAACTTCTCTTACATTCTCCCAAAACTCCTCCAGCTCAGCCCTGGACGACGAAGCTACCGGCGCATAAACAGCCAAAAGGAATAACTTCGTCAGTCCCAGTTTAAAGCGAACCCAGAGAAGTCTTGAGTTCACAAACTTATATTCAGTCATAAGATCGACCATGCGGGACGACAACAGCACCCCCACTCCCTGGCAGGCGTTCTCGCTTTCCGGGACTCCGGAACATATAGCTAACGTCCCGCCAGGGAGCTCTTCAGTACCACTGCCTTTCCGTTTGGTCTCCGACATACATACGACATCTAATTCTCTTTCTTTCATTATTCAACTCATTCGTCTTATCTCTCATGCCCCTCTAACATTCCACGTGCTAACTCTGCACTCCGTTCTCTACCTTCCGCCGTGTCGAGCTGTGCGTGACGGGTGGCGGTCCCCATCGCCGCTTTGCGCGCTGCATTCCACACCAACGGAAACGAGCTGGTGTGCGTCGCCTTGGGGGTAGAGATGGGTCGTACTTGCAAAATCGGGTACCAGGGCTTTCAAATACGTCCACCTTCAGATACCAGCGCCAAAAACCAGGGCTCGAGATACTTTCAAGTATTTTCTTTATGCATCGAAAATTGATCCGTAAGATCATATGTATAAAGAGCGCAATCGCATATGCTAAAATAATAAACTTTCAAGCCTTGTTGGAAGAAAAATACTTGCATAGAAGATTGATACGTAACTGAATATACAAATAAAGAACACAATTGCGTTTACAAAAGAAATACTTCCAAACCTTTAAAGTTCCAACTTTTAAAACTTGTTGGAAGAAAAGTAGTTGCATAGAACATTGATCCGTAACAGTATACAAATAAAGAGCACAATCGCGTTTACAAAAAATACTTCCAATCCTGTAAAGATAGAACATTGATTCGTAACATAATATATATAAGGAGCAGAATCACGTCGAGTGTCGACAGAGTGACAATATTAAAATACTTTGAAGTCTTGCGAGTATTTTGGGTCGGCACTTGGTCGGCGTACTTGCAAGTAAATACCTGGTATAAAAACCTGGTCACGTAAATACGCACCTTCCCTACTTGGGGGGACGCCCTAACCCTCGTTTTCATGGGTGCGCAGCTGTGTAGAATTGCAGCCCTGAAAAGGGCTGGCAGGGGTCGCGACGAGCACGCTTCTACAATGACCCCCAAATATTATTGTCAAGAAATATTGATACGCTTCTACAATGACCCCCAAGAAATATTGATGTGTCAAAAACATTAATCAAAAGTCTAAAATGTGTAAATTCTCTCAGTCTGTCAATACAGCGAATCGGGTTTGTAGTAGTAATGCGACGTAATTGCTTGTAGTATGTGTGCTCCGGGGACACCGAACCTTGTGCAAAATAAAGTTAACAGACATTCTATTGTGATTTATAGTATTCTATGGTTGTACTCTACAATAGAGCTCTCTTGTGGCTTGATTTGACTTGGATCTAGATAGATAAGACGCACTCCATTTAAGGCTTTAACTTTGGAGAGTCCAATGTAAGCCTGCCCTCTACTAAATATTATAGAGGAGCCTATGTCGAGAAGAGCACTGGTAAGGCTAAGGCATTGTTGATTTGTGGATAGTAATAGCATATGCTAAGCAAATAGGGAAACGTTCCCTGTGAATATATACATTATTAATATCTGAAACTTGGTCTTGACTCGCTCTAGTTCGTAAATTAAATAATTTTTGAATTGTAATTTTACGTGCGCTATTGATGTTGTCAACGTCTCAATATAAATCCTCTATTTTTCCAATGGATCCATTTACCAGTCCTTTACTGACATCTACGTTGCTTCGCAACATTACACGTGCACCTATCTTTATCGTGGTAACATTTTCTAAACCAGCAGTTAGCGATGAATCATCCTCGTTCTTTTTGAGTACCGTGGACAGTATTTCGTCTATCGAATTTAATTTAATTTCTGGTTGCTCCATACTTGCCAACATTGCAGTATAAAACTGTTTACACATATTTTTAGTGGGAAATAAACATACTGTATCATCGGACAGCAGTCTAAAATAAGATATGATTTCTGTAAGTCGGTCGTTTGCTTTGACTTGTTACTATACCCATTCTTAAACGATTCAACATTTCGCTGAAAAGTTGGTCGTTTTTTTGCCTCATGTTTACAGTTAATTCCTCGTAACAAAATAGTTCTTTCCATAAATTTGGATCACTAAGGGATTCTAAACATTTAAGGACATCAGACGACTTCAAGTTTTCGAACGGCGACAGTTGTCTCACTGGAGGCAGTTGGTACAGATTGCAAATTGCAAGATTGCAAACAACACTATATGAATTTCTTATATTTACGCGAACACTACACATTGATTAAAACTATTTTCACGGATTTTATCGCGTTTATTTTACTATCGCTGTTTATTTTTAATGCCCGACGTTTCGGGCGCTTTCCAGCACCAGAGTCCCCGTGACCATGGGTGTTACAGTTAATTCTTCATAACAAAATAGTTCTTTCCATAAATTTGGATCACTAAGGGATCCTAAAAATTTAAGGACATCAGATGACATCAAGTTTTCGAACGACAATAGTTGTCTCACTGGAGGCAGTTGGAGCAGATTGCAAATTGCAAGATTGCAAACAACACTATATGAATTTCTTATATTTACGCGAACACTACACATTGATTAAAACTATTTTCACGGATTTTATCGCGTTTATTTTACTATCGCTGTTTATTTTTAATGCCCGACGTTTCGGGCGCTTTCCAGCACCAGAGTCCCCGTGACCATGGGTGTTACAGTTAATTCTTCATAACAAAATAGTTCTTTCCATAAATTTGGATCACTAAGGGATCCTAAACATTTAAGGACATCAGATGACATCAAGTTTTCGAACGGCGACAGTTGTCTCACTGGAGGCAGTTGGTACAGATTGCAAATTGCAAGATTGCAAACAACACTATATGAATTTCTTATATTTACGCGAACACTATACATTGATTAAAACTATTTTCACGGATTTTATCGCGTTTATTTTACTATCGCTGTTTATTTTTAATTCCCGACGTTTCGGGCGCTTTCCAGCACCAGAGTCCCCGTGACTATGGGTGCTGGAAAGCGCCCGAAACGTCGGGAATTAAAAACAATAGTAAAATAAACGCGATAAAATCCGTAAAAATAGTTTTAATCAACACTATATGAATCTTGCCGAACCATGCATCGTCAGCGTCATCGGTATCATACATTTCTGTGAAGCGAAGATGGATGTATGTACATTAATGTTATCTTGGAAATCATAGACACTTCATCAATTATTAAAAGTACAACATCTTTTAATTCACATCATAAAACTTTTAATACTTGGTCTGATAAGGAAGTGTACTTGGGACAGTTTCCGTGCTCTACAGGAAGCTCTAGGAGCCTATGTATTATTAGACAGTTTACATTAAAAGCGGAAATACCTGTAGGTGCAGCTACTGCAGCTAACTTATTCATTCGCTTCTTATTCATAACCCAATTTTTAATTGTATTTATTAATTAACTTTAACCCGTGCCGCATGTCCTATTAATAAATATTCTCAAAGTTTTTTAGATTCATCTAATAAAGTCTTACATATCTTGTCGAAAATACGTTTTTGGTCAACATTTAAACCTTCTATCATTTGTTCGAGCTCATTTTCAGATACCAAATCTTTAACATTTCTGAAATCCTTCATTGCATTCACAGTTTCAACAGGTAAGAAGTCCAGTGGATTCTCTAGACCATTATCTTTGTGATCATCTCCCTGTCGATCTCTTTCAATTTCCGCTACTTTTTCTTCATTCTTTTCAAACGCTTTCTCAATGTTATTTAAGAATTCTGTCTGCATTTCTCCGTAATCAAGTCCATCCTTAATTTGATCTTTTAGAAAATTGAAGGCTTCAGTGCAAGTATTTTGTCCAGACTTCAGTACTGCTAAATCTCTCCATGGATGAAACATTAACAAAAGCGAAAAATAGTATTTTTCTGGGTGTCTTTACGTCGTTAGTATAGTGATTTATTAAATAAGGTCATTGTCGTTTCTTTAAATATTTATTTGATGATAATTTATATACCTGTGCCGCTGTTGCTGAAGAGGGCGGGGCTGTAACTATGTCAAACCATCGAGCGAAATTATATAAATTTATACTCTATAAGTCTTGAGGACGTTGAGGATAAATATTATCAACCCAAGATTCGAAATAGATGTCGGTAGAATCTGATTCAAGTTCAATTATCTCTTTTTCAGTTTTTACTCTTCGGTTGAGATGTACGAGTATATTTACATCGAGCCATCGGATTGTGGTCTGTGCATCGGTACCATAAAGAGAAATCGCTAAAAGTGTATCGCTTGCTTCTAGTGCACCACATTCTCTGTTATTGAGTACTCGGAGACCTACGTTAAAAACCTACCTACCTACCTACTAGCGAGAGATTTGGTGGAATTTTTGTTGTCAAAAGTGTCTACTGCATGACTTTTTCACTTTTAGTTGTATATTTGGTAATATAATAATTTAGTACAGCTGTCGCCTAAATACTGTAAATCCATGTTGCCATTCCAAGCGAGAAGATTTGCTGGATTATAGTCGTTAATGTAACGAGATTCTTTTTCGCGAGGTCATGGAAATCCAAACCTGAAAACCGTTGTAAAGCTTGTTTTTGTTTTTTTCTTTCGTAAACAGTATGAGTTATGTTTATGCGTCTGATAATTGATAGCACTATGATGTAATGTTGGCGATACTTTTTTTATCTGGGACAGAACATGTAACGTATTTATTAATAAACTCTGCCACCTCCTCAGTCGAAACTTGCAGTATTGTTGCATCTTTTACCCACAACATTAGAATGCTGTAAACCCCTAGACTGGTATTCACGACGCCAGAAATAATGTTCTATTTCACCTAAAGAAGCCTCAGGTGATGTTAAAAAAATCCAATATTGATTTAAATTTTATGTCAATAAACCGCGACGCTGAAACTGAGTCCATTGCTACTAACTTACTAGTAGATTTATTCCTTGCACCTGGACCATTGTTTAGTTGAATATAGTCCGCGAGGTTCGTCCATCTCCATTCAGAAGGACTGATTGTTAAAAACTAAGTAGCCGGTCCGTAATGACGAGTCATACACATAACATCACTTCCAGGTTTTTTCCAGAATTGCCCGGTGTTTCGTAATCTATTAAATATTGCCATCAAATCTCCTTCAAGCTCGCTTTTCTCTATCTTCTCTAAATACTGTTGCCCTGTAAATTTTTGATTTAGATTAGTTACGTTCAGTTTATAAAACATACCTGCATTTAATTGTCTTATATTTGTGTCTATCAATAAGTAAAATAAGTATTGCTGTTTAAGTCTGATTCGCGAGTCTTTTGAAGTTAAGCGAGATTTTATGAATTCTGCACTTGTAATTTTTTTTCGTGATCATAAAATTGACCATACTTGCCCTCATTAAATAAATCTGGAAAGCATAAAGTATCTATGTCCTTATTTCGATTATCGATTGGTGCGGCATTCACTTTCAACATTTGATATAGAGCGCAAGCTGTACTATTTTGTTTCTTTTCGTGTAGCGGGTATATTGTATATTGTTCGTAAATATATTCATTATCTTCGGTTATCTGTGTTTAAATTTTGGTCAAGATTGTCTAATAAATTATCTGAATTCTCCGGAAAATTATGTTTGTGTAATGAAAGTTATTCTGTTTTAAATATACTAATGCCCTGTATATATTGCCGATATGCACTAAGTCTTGCCACATTTTTTTTAGTTTTAGTCAGACAGCTCCACACGAGTATAAAAAGCTCTTGATTGGGGTTTAAAGGTTCTTCGGGTTTTGGCAATTTATTTAAAGTATTTTCTGTAGGTAATGGCAAATGAAATGTCCTTTCTTTAACTTTTTTATCATCTAACTGTTCGGTATATATTTATTTCACAATGAAATCAAGCTAGTTACTACTTAAAAAGCTTTAGCACTTTGTATCAACATTTTTTCATAGTTATTAAGATCACTTAATTGCTTAAGTAAGTCACTGTAATATAAAGTATATAAGCATAATTGACAGATAAACGAACTGGGCTCAATAGAAAATGTTTCATTGAAAGTTGTAACCTTTGCCATATGTCAGTTTGGATAGGATTTCTTAGTTTATTAATAGCGGACAGGTCACGTAAACAAAGAAGTCTGTGGCAAGATATGCAATGGTGTATCGGTATATTATCGCATCTTTTTTTCAAGCTATTATAAGAGCGTTTATATTTTTCTATTATTAAGTCTTCGTTCATTTCGCTTTCACGCATATTGGATTCACAATGAACATTTTTGATATTAAAAGGTACTCCTAAATCACATAATTTGTTATTACATCACATGTTACCTTAACAGATCTCAAATCACAATTTATTGAATTTATATTTTTGCAAAAACATGTTAACTGATAAAGTTCTCTAACAACATTTCGTGTTTTAGGGAAATGGGTTTTTATGTTATAAAGTATTTTTATTTTGTTTTAAAATTCTTGACTCTGATTAGATATAAGTGAATACATCTATGGCTGACTTTGAATTTAAATATTTAAAAACATCCAATAAACTTTGTAGAATCGATTCATCTAATAAACATTGTTTGGGATTACAAGACCAAGATACATTATTATGTTCATTCTGTAAGTTAAAAAATATCTCAGGTTGACCCTCATCGTTTATTGGTACGGTTTCATCCGAACAGAACATTTTATACAAACTTTCATAAAAGTATGGTTCTTGAGTGCTCACATGTTTAGATTCTCCTAAAAGAATAAAAAAAATTCTAGTATGTCAGAAGAAATACTTTTAATTTTTTCCATACTTATTGTAATTTTACTTTGAACTCGATCTAAAATTTTACAGTAATTATCTAGTATATTTTTACGACGCTCAGGAACCCATTTTAAAATTCTTTCAGCTTCTAACCTTTTCTGGTTTCCAATTTTGTCTGTTAGTTTGTTAGTTAGTTATGTCATTTCCATTAGTATACGACATTTTTCTTTGTGTAGTACAACTTCGACGATCTTTTATCTACAACTGGATTTTTTACAGTACAACTTTTTACCGCGGCCTTATGCACCTCTGGGTTTTTATCCGTATAACGTCTTACGGCTGCTTGATGCAAGGACCATACCGAAAACCACGAAACAATTGCTTCGATGTTAATAAAAACCACAAGTTAGTCTGATCGCTTAGGCTTCCCATGAACTTGAGATACTGTCATCGACTGTCCGTGGGTTGACAGTTTACTCCAGTTCTATCAGAAATAGCTGTGAAATATTTGATTTCTTCTGCTACATCTGTAGCTTCTGTGCTTCTTAACATATAAAACAGCTGAACAAAATATAAAACAAGGAGTATTTTTGAAAATTCTTACTGAAAAATATTGGTACACATAATCGTATTATTTAAATTAGACAATAGTTAATACGAACTTGAATAATCTAACAATTTCATACACTTATAATTTAATTTGCTAAATATAATAAGTGAATTAAACTAAATAACTTACGATTGTTTTTTTTTTTAAATAAAGCTGATATATCGATATTTATTTATTTAATTTCTTTATCTTAAATCCGTTTGAAATGATATCAGTTCAACTGTGGCGACCTATACGCAGATATATCTATACACAAAAAACGAGGGCGACACTGAATGTTTTTAGAACTGGCCACTTGTAAACAACATAATAAAAAAATACGTGTGGCACTCGGTGACTGCCGCGGTAAAGCTATTGCATAGCATTTTTTATCAACTTATGCAATTATAATTATTTATTTATTTTATTTATGCAATTAAGTCTTTGATATTAAATCAAATTACACTTTTTGAGCGTGGTGACTGCTAAGAAAACAATTTTTTTCTCTTATTGAATAAATGAGAAGTTAATATTGTTTAAAATATTTTTAATATCTTACAATACATGTAGGTTATTCAGGAATTTTTTATCATTGAGTTAGCAGCTAGTGTACACGCATACGTCTAGTCGCACGCACACAAACACCGTGCCGAACTCTGCCGAGTGCCGAAGTCTGCCGAACTGAAACGACGTTAGACGATGCACGGCTTTCAACGCCACACCTCCGTGCCCGTCGGAGTGGGGAGCGTGAGGTTCTTTTTCGTTACGGACTTTCTGGATTCGGTCCCCGCGCTCAAGGCCCGCGATAGAAGCTATGCAATAGCTTAAAAATAAGTTCAAATCCTGAAAATGGATTCATTAATTATTTAGACAACATTCTAGTTGTTATCCTAAGTTTTTGTAATTTCTTAGATCCACTCAAAAGCTTCTAAAACTTAAGCTTTTGATAAAAAGCAAAAGCTGACTTCATAGAACTAAAAGGGATAATAATTTTCACATAACAGCTTTTTAAGTTGGAACTTCTTACACTATGTCTTTACAGAATTCAGAAGCGAAAGTGAATATTATTTTATTAGTTTTAGTTCTTTGAAGTCGGCTTTTACTTTTTATTAGTTATCAATGTTCACGTTGAACCATTATTTAAACGACAATACCAGATCATTGATTAAATGTACAAGAACAGCAATCCGCCGGCGGTAAGTTTTTTATTTTTGTTCATCTATAACATTTTTCTTATTCAATAGTTTAGAAGTAAAAAAAAAATATTAACAAGTCCTGTACCGAGATTTGGCCGTAGTCTGGCCGCCGGCAGATAAATATTATTATTTTGAAGATGAATTAGATATTAAAAATTGATGCCATTTTCTGTATATTAACTGCGTATGTTAACTGTTAATGGAAAAGACAAAACAAGAGGTGCGATGTTAATATAAAACTCAAGTTATTTTGTCTGCTGTCTTTAACACAATGAGATGCATCAAAATATTGTAAGGAAGTTTTTACTTAGTGTTATAAACTATACTATTTTGTTAAAAACTTCCTGGATAGTTCCCGAAAACATCCGTAGAAGCACAG